CTCATATCACATAGAAAAAATTGGTACATAGAATGAACACAATAAATATTTGTTACTTTAATCAGAAAACATGTAAAATTTTCAACTGTGAAGGCACGAACAGTTCTTTTATGCACACATTGAATACAAAATCTGTTCAATTGTGTGAATCCTTTGTCTATCTAATCTGAGAATGAAGCTTCTGGCTAAATTTTACTGCAAGATCAAATTTCTTTTCAATAACAAAGGCTCTCTCTTGCTCTCATTGGAGTGAAAGCACTTGGAGTTATATATAAGAATCTGTATATTTTCTAAATTAATAACATCCTGACACCCTGTGGAAGTGCCGGAGGTGGATTTCCTTTAGACTGATAGACTGTCAGTGATTTAGTTTAGCTACTACTGTGCCAGAAAATAACAAATCCATTACTAAGCAGCATGTCCTGATTTCATAGTTTAAGAAATTGAAACAAAAAAGAATTTGGAGCAAGATAACTGAATTGGAATGAAAGAAAATAACATCTCAAACATCTCACCATATGATTGAAAGACAATATATTTAACATGACATACTTGAAGAGACTGTAACAGAATTTTAAATTTTAGACATACATTTTAACTATAGGTGGTGATGTGTACTAGTTTCTTTAAGCTAAAAAAAACATACATAAAATGTTGGATTTTACTCTTTATATATTTATGCTAATATTGATATATCAGAATTTCCATAAGTTTTAGTTTTTTCAAATGCAGACCAGACTTTTGCTTTTAACAGGGAAACAGCTGTTAACGGATACATTTAAAGAAACTTGACTCATAGTTTTAGAAGAGAAAATTCAGAGTCCTTAAAGCATTTGAATAATTTAACTCAGTGCGTATTTTTGGTGCTTTGTTTCAATAACAGAATTGCCAAATCTTTTTCACATTTATCATTCCATTTGAATCTCAAAATAACCCTCTGAGAAAGTAACATTACTCCCATTTTCCAATGAGGTCACTGGGACTCAAAAGCATTAAAATGATCTTTCTGAGCCACTAACTGAGATTGTATATGCATAGAATACATATACAAGGTATATGCATTATACCTTGCATTCCTGTATAATTTTTATTCTGGTCTGCTCTGTTTTGCTTCATACTATGTAGCTTGTTTTGCGTTGAGCACTGGGAAGTATACAAAGATTAAAAACAAAAACAAACATACCATTGTATTTGGTTCATTTGACAAAATATATTTAAATGATTAATGTTTACAAATGTGCAGATCAGTGCAGTGACTGTGGGGAGAAAATATTGGGTCGGTAAGAATATAAAGAAGATTATCCAACTAATTTTAATAGACCTGTCTTAAATTCTTAACCTCCATATGTACAACTTGAGTTATAATTTGCTTCTTTAGAAATAAAGCAGAATAAATCAAGGTGGGTTTGGCCAAAAATAAAGGTCATTTACAATTATTTATTTATTTTAGAAAGGCAGTTTGCCATCTGCAATACCTCATTTAGACGTGTCTGAAGTCTTAGAAGCCTGACTACCCTATGTTCTACTACAAATAAACCTTGATAACATGTTTGGAGGTTGTAGCAGGGGAGCACAGACATTCCTATACCCTTAACCAAAGAGCTGCCCTTCACTACTGGGAAAGGCTGTCTTTTTTGATTGAGGCTTCAGCAGGGACACAAATCAAGCAGTGAGTGAGGAAAGGGATACCTGCTTAGCCAGCTAGATCAGCCAAATCAGCTCTGGTGATTGATGAGGTGAGAGATGCCATAGCCAGATTGTTATCACATTCTTAAAAATTATTTAAAAATGTACATAGACTTATCCCTGTTTCTTATCGATCTCTGACCAATATCCCATCTCTTGTCTATCCCTAAGCCTCACTCTACTCTCAACTTATTCCTGAGCCTCACATGAAATCTAGTCATCAGCCTATCCCTTATCTTATCGATCCTAACCATTAAGATAAGAACTGGCAATAGGAGTGTTTGAATTGTATAGTTCATATATTTTTTGGTTGTTTTTTTAAAATGTGAAACAAAACAGACTTGTCAAAATGCACTTACATAAAAATGCCTATGAGAAACAGCAGATTGCAAAATGTTATTGACATCAAGTTGACTATGTCAAAATTGTTAAAAGGTTGTGTCAGTTATTTGTCACTGTGTAATGAATTACCCCAAAACTTAACATGTTAGACACAATAAATACTTATTTTCTCACAGTTTCTGTGGAAAATAAATTTCTCACAGTTTCTGTGGATACAGAATTTGCAAATGCTTTAGCTGAGTAGTTCCGGCAATTAAGCTGTCCTCTGGAATACGGTCATCTGAAGGCTTGATTGAGGCTGGAGGATTCCTCTCCAAGATGACTTACTCAGATGGCTGTTAGCAGAAGGCCTCAGTTCCTTGCTTGATACAGGCAGAAGGTCTTTGTTTCTTATTATGAGGACCTCTCCATAGAACCACTTGAGTGTCTCACAATATGGTGGCTGTCTGCTCAGAACAGGTGATCCAAGCAAGAGGGTAAAAGCAAGGCAGACACCACATCTTTTAGTCTTTTATAATCTAGCTTTGAGTGTCACAAACTTCTTCCACAATTAAAACAGTGTTGTTACAATGGTAATGAGTAGCCCAAAGCTATGAATACATGAAGGTGGAGAATCATTGGGCCTATTTTGGAAACTGGCCATCACAAGGTGTCATGGACTCTAAGAAGCACAGAAAAAATATGTTTGCCATTAGAGATAGTAATATTCTTCTATCAGAAAATCTTCAGTGAGTAGGAGGGGAAAACCTCTTTGAGAACACTTAAATCTTGTACTTTGGTTTGATGTTGAATTCTTCAGTGTGCTTTGAAACTGTCACCCTAGATCAGGGATCAAAAAACTATGGCTTGTGGGTCAACTGTGGCCTGAGGGCTGTTTTTGTATAATCAATGATCTAAAAATATTTTTGATAAATTTAAAGAGCTATAGAAGAAGTAGATAGATGATAGCTATATGATAGCTAGCTGTGTGATAGCTAGCTAATTAGCTAGATAGATGCAACAAAGATGATATATAGCCTACAAAGTCTAAAACACTTAGTAGGTGACCCTAAAACAATTGCCAATCTTGTTAAAATCCATCAAAACACATACAAAATAACTAATAAAAAGAAGTTGTAATTCTGCTACATTGTGTGATAGGATATACAGAAATGGATAAAGATATTTCTCCCCTGCTAGAAGGTAGATCAACATGGTATACCAAACCCTTAGCTTCTCCACTTAATGATAATGAAAATTAAATATTTGGAGATGTCCTTATTCCAGCATATCCCAAACCACCAAAACTTAATCTTAGCTGCACACACACAAAAAATATTATCTGGTGAAATATATTCCGGAAATACCACACATCCTATGCTATTTTTGGAGATTCAGAACTTATTATAATAATAAATGATCTGATAAGTTCTTTAGTAATTCATTTTGATGACTTAATCCAGCATCTTCAAATTCCATTGTTCATGGACGATTTTTATTTTCATGTTAATATCTATTAACATCTATGTGTGTAACTGGAAAATATATATCTTCATTGTTCCACTTCAGGGTACTCTAATGGGCTTCATTCAAACCCTAGTTATGCTAATATAAATGTGAGAATCCTTTCCCATCATAATTGTAGATATCCACAGTTCTTTTGTGAGCTTGCAAGTGTCAGAAGTATTGTCTTGAGATAGCTTTACAGCAGAGCTGGATATCTGCTGAGTCTCTCAGAACAGGATGGTCTACCCTCTTATAGGAGATTGGCTCTTGAGGTCACTAAGGTCATACTAAGCCAAGTTCTTGTGTGACTAAACCGATAGTTGTCTGGCACAGCTCTTGATAATGGGCAGTAGGCTGATAAAACCTCATTTGCCTCCTGGACACTTGCATAATGCTGTTTTACTGCATTCTCATGTTCTCAATTTCAGATAATTTTCCTGTCAACCCTATGTTTCAACAACTCTATGTTTCAACAAAACCCCAGTTGATTCAAATGCAGTGTTACTGACCAGCATATGAAAACATGAAGGTTTCAACAATCTGTTTCATAAGAATGCCAACTTTTGGTGATTTACAGAATTAAGTGCAGTTTTGGTATTTTTGTTTTATATTATACACACACATATATGGGTACATTATACACATGCATATTTTATATATTAAGCACAGATTAAAATGATACTTGCTTATATGACAGATGCTCCTAGTGAAGGAAACATGTCAATTGCAAGTGAAATAATTGTGCTGATATTTTAGGGATAATCCTGAATCTACTCTAATGAACATAAAAGTGGAAACCATTCTTCAAACTTCAATGCTGTAGCTTCAAAAACTAGTGCTTTTGGGAGTATGCTGAAATTGACTTGTACAACTCACCAGAGCCGGTTGTAAACATCTCTTCCCAACTGCACCTTCAGAAGATTTACATGAGTAGCCCAAAACTGATCATAGGAGGAGTAGCTGCACAACAGAAATAACCAAATGATGTAAATGAGAACATTTTAAAACATGTATTAGCACACCACTGTTTGAGATGAGTATCAGCATTAATTGTGACACAATGATGTGCTATAACAACTGAGGCTGAGAATGGCCACTTCACTGTTGTTTGTTGTTTTGTTCTTGTTTTGGGAAAGGAATGCTATAGAAGATTAAGAATCACACCAACCTCAATACAAATTCTGTGGTTTTCACTTCCTGGCTTTGTGAGCTTTTGGAATTTATTTTGAGATTCAGTTTAACAATATAAAAAGGGCATGATAACATGAATTCCATGAAGAATCTGGGGGTACTGTAGATAGCTTTTGTAAATTGTGTTACATAGTACCGGGCACATGGTAGGCACTTCCATATGTGCTCACTACTATTATTATTCTCATCTCAACTCTAGTAGCAGTCAGCTCAAGCCCAAAGTAGGTTTTAATTTCTAGATTTCTGCATAGATGTCCTCATTGTTTCCCTTGCCTTCCTGCGTCAGCTGGCACAGTTCATCTTGTGCCCTCTTCATTGTGACTGTAGAGCTTCTCTAGGACTGCTGGCTCGAAGTCATATGTCCACGTGCTCTCAGATATCTGGAAGAGATCCTGCTCCAGTGCAGTCTAGAACCAGGGATAAAGGTAGGAATGTAAGTAATTTTACGGTGAGAAACAACATTAGATTACTGCCTCACAATTTTATGCTGACCCCACTATGCCCACACAAACAAGTGCACTAATTCTTTCAATGGAAATATAAAATAAGGAGCAACGACAGATAAGGCACTTCAAATATGTTGAAGCAGCATATTGTCAAATATTTTGAAGGTTCTCTTGGGAAGGTTTAGAATTACATATTTACATAATTAATAACTTCTATAAGAAAAAGTCACAGATCCTTAAGTTGTAATCTGGCCTTAGGCATGTCGAAAATCTAGAACAAAGTTTTCAGGGTTTTTTTTCCACCAGAGGCTGCGTTGTTGACCCACCTGTACTAGCTAACCTGAAGGTATTTGCTGTCAGTTGTAACAAGAATTGATTCCCCTCCAGTCAATAGACATTTCCTAATTGCCTGTGTGCATTTTAACTTCAATTTCCTTCTCTGAAAATGCAAATAAATTATTTTAGGCTTCAGGGAGATTATTTGAGATGTAATTGTTATTTTCCAGCCTGGCTGTGCTGCTGTTTATTTTTATGGAACTATACAAACACAGGTGTGTATTTGCTGATATTTTGCTTATTTGGATGAGAAAATAGGAATCATTTCCATAATAGCACAGTTTTGCAAGCTCTGGGGACCAGAACTGGATTTTAGTCACCTTTCTATTGCCTTTATATCTGAGCAGAGTGCCTTGTACGGGAAGGTGCTGAGTAAATATTGGCTGTATTGAATCATTATTTATGCCTCAGAAGTCCTGAGAGAAGAGACTCCTGTTACATTGAAATCCATCATCTAAGATCCTAAGTGCATTGTCATCATTTGAAACACAATGAAATTTCATGATGAGGTTATTAGTTTACAAGGTCATTAGACAATAAAGTAAATGTTTTTTTTGGTATTCACAGTACTTGTCTGGATTCCCATACCTGCATACCTCTACTGTAGACAGATATGATGACTGTCTCCTACCTTGACCCTGATTCTGGCCCTTAGCATGAAGCATATCAGTAACATTTGTTTTAGTCAAGATGGCTTAGTGTTCATAGCCATTTTGGTTGATGTCTTAAATTTTCTGCCAAGACTCTGCCTGAGTTTTAATCCTCATTACTTATTATCTCTGAATCCCTTTTAATAAGTTTTTCTGAGTATGATGAATTCCTTCCCTCCCTCCTTCCTTCCTTCCTTTCTTCCTTCCTTCCTTCCTTCCCTCCTTCCTCTTTCCAGACCATATCAGAACACCTATAAATGCCCCAGCCTTATATGAAAAACTACACATTCAGTAAGAAATGATACAACATTGCCATCTTTAAAGAGCAATATGTCTTAAAAAATACAACAAAATGATTAGCTTGAATATAACATTGTGCGACATATTCCTGCTTTTACAGAAAGGTAAATATATTGGAAAAGTATTGGTGTTGCTACATTTTGACACATGAATTAGTTTGCTGGAGTTGCCATGACAAGATACCACAGACTGGGTAGCTTAAACAAAAGAAATTTATTTCTTAACAGTTCTGGAGGCTAGAAGGGCAAGATCAAGGTGTCAGCATAGTTGGTTTCTTATGGCCGTGCTTCTTGGCTTGTAGATGGCTAGCTTCTTCCAATGTCTTCCCATGGTTTTACCTCTATTTGTGTCTGCCTTCTAATCTTCTCTTCTACCAGTCATATTGGATTAGGGCCCATCCTTATGAACTCATTTTACCTTCATTATCTCTTTAAAGGTCCTGTGTCCAAATGGAGTCATATTTTAAAATAGTGGGGGTTAGGACTTCAACATATGAATTTTAAGGGGACACAAGTCAGCTCATAATAACCTAAAATAAATTCAGCCTCAGAGATATTGTGTAACCTTCCAAGTCATTCTAGTAAGTAAATGGTAGAACTAGGATGTAACCTAATGCCTACATAATTCTAGAGTTCACATTCTTTCTACTCTACTCTATTGCCTCTCCAAACTCCTACTACCGAACTATTGAATTTGGATTCTGTTTCTTATTCCCCACCATTTTCTCTTCACAAAAATGGTTTAGCCCCAGTGGTCCCTAAGCCTTCCACTTGATTTTCTGAGCCCATGAAAATCTGACTTTGTGTATCTGATTATATCTTAAATTTTTTACCAGTATTATTGTGCTTGTACTAGTCTTCCTCTATTTCAGATCAGATCTGCTGTCAGAGATATCTACTGCTTACAAATACACATGTGCTCCTCCATATATTCTAGCTTCATTGTAGTTAGGCAGGGGCCATGTAGGTCTTTCTAGGCTGTAGGATATCAGAAATAATGTGTGATTCTTTTTGTGCCTATTAAGAACCTTTATGGCAAGCTCCCACTTTTACTTTCTCTTCCCCTGCTCTGGAGACTTTAATCTACATGTTGAGATAATAACATTGTTGAGATCAAATATGCCTGGATTTTTGAATCACTGCATGGGGGACAACTGCTTTAATTTACGTGTCCTCCATTAAGATGAGGGAGAGCAAAAAATACAACACTGCTGCATTAAACTAGTAATATTTTTGGATTAATTTGTTACCACTGCATAGACTCATCTATCCTAATGTAGACCAGTCATATTGAAATTGTGTTGCCTTGCGATTCTCCCATGAATCACTGATCCCCAGAGTGTCTGAGGTTATCATCCTTACCTGTTATACTGGACCGAGCGTAGAAAGTTAGCACCAAGACAAAAGTATGCCAGATTGCAGGGTCATTTATTATGCCGGCGACCACAGAGGACTCACATCTCTCCAACCTGTGGCGTCAAAAGGAGGGTGCCAAGACTTTTTATACCCGAAAAACCACCTTGGGAATGGGGATGAGGAGCGGGGATGGGGATGAAAAGGCTTCAGACATTCCGAGGGCTAGTGGATTCTGTAAATCACCTCCTGGGCGGAGACCAGGACTCCGGATATTCCAAGGGCCAGGGGACTTTTGTCATTCAATTTGTTACTTAAGTGGTTTACAGAAGTCAAAATAAACATTTGTTTACACATTATCTGTGTAAGGTGGAAATCATAGACCTTAGTTACTTATTACAAGTCGCAGGAGCCAAAATGGCCTGGGTTAGGACTGCTTACCTGTCACATTAGGGCCACAGAGAGCAGTTACTGATAAGCAAAGTTTAAGCAGCTTCACATAGTGGGCATTTTTCAGAGCAAGCTAGCAGCTTTATTTACAGAAGCCAAAGACAGCTTTACCTTATAAAATGGCGTTGCTCAGGTTCTGGCACTAGGTCAGCACAATATCACATACCTAGAGAAAGAAAACAGTCGTATGTCTTCCCTGCCCATAAATTATTGTTTTTCCCAACTGCAATGACCATCAGAACACTCTGATATAATTGGACTGCCACTTCCAGTCCTGCCTTGGTTTGCTGCCACCCAAACTCCCAAGTCTGAGAGTAGGGCACATCCCTATATCTGGGTGCTCTGTGTCCTGATTCCTCTACTATACTGGCGTTTCGAGTTGCTTTAAAACTCAGCCAAAACTGGTCTTGAAAAATACAGCTTTAAAAAAAAAATCCTCAGTTGTTAATTTAGTGGGACTGAAATTATGTTAGCTCATTGAAATTTCATTGCTAATGGGTTATAAGATCGTAGGAACTACAGATCCAGCATCTGTCTCTTTTTAGTGTCTCAATTATCACCACAATAATTTAATGACATCCTGTTGAAGAAGCATATTTGACATGCTAATGAATGGCATCCTGCTCATTTCCATGAACTTCACATTCCCTAGGTGATAATTTAAAGCCAGGCATTTTAGATTTGTATCATCCCATGGCCACACTGACTTAAAGGTTGACCAAAATGATACACTAAAAAATGCTTGACACTGAATTGCAAATGTCTTAAACTGTAGTCTCTTATAATTTTATAAATATGCTTCAAAATTGAGACAAGCCAAGAGAATCCTAATATTTACATTATTATCTAATTTAATCATGACCCTTTTGTATTCATGCTTGCCTGTTTGGCTATTTCATCTGTGCCTAATCAAGGACCCCATCTGTAATATTTTGCTTGTTGAATTAGCTTTTATTTTCTTTATGTTTTGTTTTTTCAGATTGTACTATATTATTTGCTTTCTTAAATTTTATGTAATCTATTTGACACACACTTACAATAACTTCTGATTTTATTTGTATTAAAATTTAAATAGCAACAACCTAAATCTAATTTCTAGCCTCATAAAATTATTTTTAGAAAAAAGAAAATCTAAACAAATATGTACGTATATTTAATGTTCAATTCACTAAATCAAATAACAAGAAATATGTTTTATTCTGAGATTTATAACTGAATTTAGATATACAAAATCATTTTGAGGTTTTTGCTTGTTTGATCAGTATTAAAAAAACATTATTTGCTTACAAGACACTGGTATTATTTTTTTAAACACAGTTCTATACCTAAGTCACCACTATGATTAATTTAATGTGGAATTTTTTAGTCTTTGCAAAATAAAGGTTTGTGTGGTCCAAAGAAAATGTAACCAAAAACCAGAAACCACAAAGTGAGAGAGTTAGGTTGGAAATAAGTAAGCATTTATTGATGATGAAGTTCAATCAGTTCTACTGTGATATTGTGCCAGAATTGCTAGCCTTTGCTTTAGTTATTTAGTAATAACTAAAATAAGCAGCCGAGGATAACTAAGATCTGTGTGTAAACAAATGCTTATCTTGACTTCTGTAAACCACTGAAGTAACAAACAGAATGACAAAAGTCCCCTGACCCTTGGAATGTCCGGAGACCCCCGCCCTCGTCTCCACCCAGGAGGTGAATTACAGAATCCCCTGGACCTTGGAATGTCCGGAGACCCCCGCCCTCGTCTCCGCCCAGGAGGTGAATCACAGAATCCCCTAGCCCTTGGAATGTCCAAAACCTTTTCATCCCCATCCCCACTCCTCACCCCCATTCCCAAGGCGGTTTTTTGGGTATAAAAAGTCTTGGCACCCTC